TGCTGGCAGTGCTTGGGGGCATGCTGGCTTACTTAGGGGCATGCTGGCAGTGCTTGGGGGCATGCTGGCTTACTTAGGGGCATGCTGGCAGTGCTCGGGGCATCATGGCAGTGCTCGGGGCGTGCTGGCAGTGCTTGGAAACATGCTGGCAGTTCTTAGGGGCATGCTGGCAGTGCTCAGGGCATGCTGGCAGTACTTGCGAGCATGCTTGCAGTGCTTGGGGGCGTGCTGGCAGTTCTCGTGGCATCCTGGCAGCGCTGGGGCACGCTGACAGTACTCAGGGCATGCTGGCAGAGTACTGCGTATGGAGACAGCACGTGCGTCTCATTCTCACCCTTTATCGACATGCCAAGCCGGACGCAGCGGGCGTAGCGACATGCCTTGCAACGCGTGCGGTTCGTCGGACCGATGTCACAGCAGCCGCCAAAGTAGCAACGGTACTTGTTGAGCTTCGTGCTTCGCCGGAAGAAACCCTGCAAGATCGAGGAGATAAGCTCGCCATCTCATAATCTCAACCGAACGCGGCAGGTGGCGGATGCATATGGCCGAACATGCGTAATGCTTCCAATCCGCGCACGCCGACACCTGCGTAGGTCTATATGCAGACTGGCGTGCACGCACGCGCGCGCGCACGCACACACACGCGTGCGCGCTTCCGTGCACTATTTACACGTGGCTTGCAGGCCGCAAACGTTCCTATGATGCGCAGATCTGTGTATCGTGGCTAAAGGCTGCTATCAGCTTGTAATATTAATAAAGGTACATGATATCATAGATCGATACACGAATTATGCCATATATATATGCATCACACACAAACACACGCGAGCACGCACACAGGCACACATACATGCACTCACACACACACACGCGCGCGCGCGCGCCAGCACGCACGAAGGCATACACACGCGCACGCACGCACGCACACGCACGCACACGCACGCACACGCACGCACACGCACGCACACCCACACACACAACACACACACATACATAAATTTATATGTGTATATATTATAAAATTAACAATTATTGCATCGTTGCAAGGTTTACCGATAAAATCAATATTGCCCGATGTTGAAGGGATATCGTTGTCACCACAGACGCATGCATAAAGTATACAGCTGCACATAACGATAGCATGCAGGAGTGTGAATGAAAACTATAAACTAAAACACTAAAATAATTCGTTTTCACTCGCTGCCGATTCTGATATCAATCTAGCACCGGGTCGCCGGGCCACCTTACCTTACAACCTTCGCAGGAGATGACTCCGTAGTGCACGCCCGTGGCACGGGCCCGGCAGATCGAACAGGTGCCGAAGACATCGTGACTCATGCTTGCTCGTTGCCTCGTGCCTCTCTCTGTATGCCGGGTACCTGTTGTTGTCTACGTGCGCAAGTGAGGTGCGCGCCTGCGTGAACTGCCATGTCGAGGAGGTGTGTGTCCCGTGCGCACGCAATCCTCGCAGGTTTGCATCTATGAGAACAGCCTATAACGTGCTGCATATACTATTTATGCATCGTTCTCTCCAAGCAACTTATATATTCCTTCCTTTTCCTTATCCTCTTGGTACCCCGGTGGGACATAATACTACCCTGCCGCCATGAGTGTTAGAGGTGGGTTAAACCTACTACCCTGCCGCCATGAGTGTTAGAGGTGGGTTAAACATACTACCCTGCCGCCATGAGTGTTAAACGTGTGGCGCGCCCCAAACAGCTTTAATGCGTTAGAGTTGGGAGATCTTCTGCGTAACTCCAACGCGCGTTAAAGATGGCGGTCGCCGTTCCGGTGCGCGTGCGAGAGATACGACACATACGTATACGCCGTTAGTCGCGGCCATGTGGGCCTCGTAATGTCGTCTGCGCGGTGCTTCGTACACGTCAGACATCGCCTGAGCGGCGGCGACGGCCTCCAATGTCGCCTCGTACATGTCGGCCTTTCGGTTCTCCGTCGCGTTATCGTTCTTAGAATCTGCTACGAATTCGCGTGGAATATGTTATGTTGTACAGGAAAGACTATGAGTAAAGCATAAGTCAAATAACATCAGATTTATTATTGAAATACTCAGCAGACAGCCATGATGGAATTCAGTCCTAATATCAGAACGAGGCTAATAGTTCCAAGAGCTATGCTTAGATGGCGCTAGCTGTTATTAATATTACAGAATGTAGTAGAGAGGAACAGGGGCAATGCTGCTGTAGATTGGAATAGAAGTTTGCGAGGATCCAAATCGTTATACTTCGGAATGCAGTCGGTAGCATTTGCAATTAGGTAGCCTTGATCTACTGCTATCGTCATCTATATATACACAAACATGTATTGCGATGCCTGGGGCTACCGGAAAACAATAAGTGAATATGTATGCGTGCCATTGCCACGAGGGCGTCGTTCGTGTATACCTTTCAAGTTGCCGACAGACCTCGTAAACAGCCTCAACCACGTCCTCTTACCAATCTTACAGCCTCCCCCACATACGCACTTCCCCTGAATTCTGCACGGGAACTGTGGTATCGCGTGGTCGACACCGATGCGTCTGAAGGAAAAGCGCTATTTACATTGGAACGTATAGCCAAAGCGCCTATTGTAAACGGTAGTTATATTCGTATGTATTCTTCGCCATCTATTTCGTAATAGTTTACCATTGAATTGCTGCTCGATGCATGCAACGTTGTTTAATTTTATTCCGAGTGTACAACTAGGAACAACAGATTATGAGAAACAAAATGCGTTTCAACGCCAACTTGCCTTTTCACGCGGTCTTTGCCCTCCTCACATCCACACGCGCAGTGGTCATTGAAGTTGACTGAATATCGCTCCTCCTCCTCTTCTTCATCATCATCGTCGTTATCCTCATCGTCATCAGAACGCAGCAGGCTGTCATCGCCATCATCATCGTCGTCGGTGTCGTCGTCGTCGTCGTCATCATCGTTATTGCCGTTAACGTGGTCGCCATAGCGGTCACCAACTTTCCACCCGCCGTTTTGCCGTGTCTCGCTTGCAAATTCTGCCATATTTTCCTTCGCGACGCCGCTCTGCATCCCCGACGTCGGGCCGGGTAGCTCTGATGACTGTCGGCCGTATGCAAGCGACGGCAACCCTAGAGTAAGAGCTGTCGTCGTCGCCAAATCTTCTAACCGCATGCCGCAATGATCGTCGCCCGTGCCGACGAACTCGTCGCGACAGACGTATGGCGTGCCGATGTCGTCATGTGCGTCGCCGAGGGGAATGATGCCCAACACATCACTCAGCTGCCACTGTTCCGATAAAGACAGGAACGCTTCGGACGGGTAGCTTTCGGCGTTCTCTCCCTCCAGCGCTTCATCCACTGACATCCTCAGCGCGTGCCGCAGGCCCGAGTCTTCCTCTCTCAGCGTCTCCGGCCGACTGGCCTGTTCATTAGTTGTGGATATCGTGTACGCGTCGCTCGCCTGTGGGTCGCGCCCCCGAGAGAAATCTTGCTCGTCCGCCTCCCGTCTTACCGTGTCGCTGAAGTCAAGATGGCCGTTTGATTGTGCGTGAAACGCCGTCACGTGGTCGTCATACGACAGCAGACGCGCATTGACGACATCCGACTGAAGAGACACCCAGTTCGACAGAGTGCTGTTAGATGGCAGCATCGATGAGCAATGATGTTCGTTATTACGCGAGAGGCTATCGAGGGGACACGTCGAGACGCGGCTTGACCAATCCGCGTTGAGCTGGTGTCGTATGTTGGGCGTGGCCTGGCCGTCACGCA